GTACCATTCACTTCAAACGCTATCGCGTTATCCACTCAGCTACTGAGTCCTAATAGCCACTTGCTTGTGCAATGGGGTGAATTTGCATTCACTTTGTATTGTTTGGCTTGTATCTTCCCATTGAGGTTTAAGACTGCAATTGATCAGTCTGTTAAGGTAATATCGAGGCATACGCACAATATGCACCTATGCTAATAGCAGACTGATCAATTGCAGTCTTAAACCTCAATGGAAAGATACAAGCCAAACAATACCAAGTGAATGAAAAAACTTTCATGTTAGATAGTAATGAACTATTAGACCTTCAAGTATCTGATTTGTAATGAAAATATATGAACATATAAATCAAACATTTATTTCTACATAGAAATATTTTAACCTTTTGATACAAAACAAGAAAATATACTTTTCAAAGTAGAAGAGATTGGAAATTCATCTATCCATTGAAATGACTATTTCTGTTATTGTTATTAAAGTTCACTAACATTCATAATAATAAGAATTATGTTAAATTTTAAATTATAACCGAGTCCTGAGAAGAAAGTAATTTTCTGTTAAAAATGATTGATGACAGGAAGTTAATTCGCTACTTTATGAAATACAAATCTATATTACTTGATATTAAGAAATAAAAATTTAGTCATGCAATTACTAGCAAAGATAGTCAATGACCTTTCTCCAGTCATAAGTTTAGCATGACAACATTTTTTGTTATATTAATAATCAGAGTACAATAAGTTTGAATACGCTTTGGGATTTTTTTATTATTTAGACATATAACATGATCATAACTGTTCATTAAACGTTCTTGTTAGAACTAATAATAACATAAACAGAAAAATTCTCAAGAAGGTTGATTAGGTTTTGCTTAAAGTAGAAGAATAAACTTAATTCTACATGAATGGTTAAAAAGAAGAGCTTATTTACAAGTGAGTTCAATAGTCTTTTTGAAAAAACACAACTCTTCACGACGTTGTGCGTATAGGCATAACGGAGGTAGGGCATGAAATGTCAGTGTCGTACTGTTGTCGTTCCATCTATATCATTGAATCAGAATCCAATGGTCCACATTTCTTACATCAATGAACTCATGATACAAGGTAACAATCATCTAATGTCCACGTCTTACGCTAGAAGTGACTGAATTTCTGCAATTTAAAGGTCTTACTAGGAAGTCAGAAATTTATCTCAGTATTGATCATCACTTAGCATGACTACCGTAAAACCATCACAAGAAATATTAAAAGACGTTGTAAACATATTAAATTCAACAGAAAATTACTATTTTTTTATCCATACGTTTTTCTTACGAACATTTAAGAATTTTGATATAATTTCAGTAATCATCATCTCATATTATCTTCATGATTATTAGTTTGTAATTAAGGAGAAGTTCTAGAAATGTCTACTCTTCAAAAATTCATGAAGTATTAATCGGCCGATTGTATAATATTTTGTAAGCAAAGAAGAGGATTAGAACTTACGAAAGGTATGTGTACGTTGTAGCCCATTCTTCAGAAACAATAAAGATCAAGGGTTGATGTGGCTGCATATGTGAACTGTTGGGTTTCCGTTCACCGAACAGCCTGAAGCTCAATGATTTAACACGCATATAGGTACTGTTGGGAAATACTAAACCAAGACGAAACAGCTGTCTTTCAGCCCTTCATTTATGGTTATGTCTTTAGTTGATATCAACCAGTGACAAAATTCAGCTCTGAACAGTTTGTGCCAAAAGGTTAGTGATTTGCGACTTAACTCCTTTGTTAGAGCATCTGAAGGATAGTAAAATTACAGTTTGCTTCAAAAATGCAACTTTCTTGTAATGAGATTCTTTTCATTTTAATCATTTACCCAAATGAACGATTGGGAGTTTATTTTTAAACGCTATCTTGCTGAACAAGTATAGAAAACAGGTCTTCCCACTGCACTATGTGCAGCGGTTCCGAAAATCTTCTATTAACAAACGTGCTTGGCTTCGTCAGTCATCGTCCAACCGTTCCTGATTTTGTCATAAATTGATCAGTTTCATCGGTTTCTTATTAGCATGTGATTGGAATACAGAATTTCATCGTTTTGAAATCTTTTCCTCATTATTCGGAGTTTTAATGAACCAGATTTTTTAGAATTGAGGAGACGATTCCAACTAATCAATTAAAATTGATGTGTTAACTCTTGGCCTTGATCGCCACTCATTTTAACAGATGCGTGAATTTTGTTGATTGCGATCAATTGCTCGCAAACCCGAATTATCATCACAAAATGTTCACAGTGAGGTATGAAAAATATTGTAATTTTGGGGTTGAAAAAACTTTTTTAAAAAGGGCGGGGTTTTTTTTAAAAAAATGCCGTAGGGATAATTAAAACCTATTAACAAAATCTTTGACACAAAATAAACACAAATATATCTTTTCTAAAATATAACTAACTGGAAGATTGGTATTTCATAAGTCCGATTGTCAGTGTTTGTCTTATTTATCACAGTATCTGCTGCTAATACTCAATTAACTAAAAGTCTAAATTACTGAAATGTTTCTAGTTACTAGGACTGCATTCATTTGTAGCGTTGAGTGACAAGTTCTGGAACTATATAATATGAGATACCAAATATGCCTTATTGATGAATGTCAAGTTGCATGTAATTTAGTTTTAATGTGTTCTGTAAATTATTTTCAACCATCTGAAATTACCTGTTCATATATCATTGTTGTATACAGTTTAACATGACACTGGTAAATAGTAACTAACATCACATTTGGTTAAACGGAGCTGATTGAAAATAATATTTTTTTTCCAGCTTATTAGGTGTTGACAAATAAACCAGTTAAATACCAATCATTTGAAATGAACATTTCACTGGGAAATGTAGGGTATTCATTTTTCCTATCAAGGTTTTATGTATTTCATTAGGTTTACTCATTATTTTCTCGTATGAACAACTGACTCACTGGGACCATATTTTTTGAAAATACATCTCTTCAAATGTCTTTGGTAATGATCTCAAATAGTATGAAGTGACAAGACGTAATTATTTAACTGAAGCATATATGTAGTTGCTCTTTATTCAAAATTTATGTCAAACGTCAAACAATGGCCATTCATCACGAGATCCAGAAATGAAAGTTGTATATTAAATGATGATAAACAGCTTCATAATTTAGTTACAAATGCTCGTGTTTTTATTTATGTCTTTACTTGTAGTAAGTAGCTCTTTTTAATAAAAAAAGAAACACTTCATGTATTTTGTAGATTTTTGTTTAAGTGGTTAGCATTTTTTAGCGAGTTAGTTTTCTACGGAGATTTGGAAAATCTAAAAATCATTACATATCTGGATGGCATCATTGGTGAACATGGTGGATCTGATGCAGATGTGAAGGCGCGGATCTGAAAAACAAGAGCAGCATATTTACAACTTAGGAACATTTCGAACTCAAGACAACTTTCAACCAACACCAAGATCAGGATTTTTAATACAAATGTCAAGATAGATAGAGGAAACCTGGAGAACTATGAAAGCGAACATCCAGAAGATACAAGTGTTTATCAACAGCTGTCTACACAAAATACTTCGGATCCGTTGACCAGACACTATCAGCAACAACCTACTTTGGGAGAGAACAAACCAGATCACAGCGGAGGGAGAAATCAGGAAGAAGCGCTGGAAGTGGATAGGACACACATGAGGAAAGCACCAAACTGTGTCACAAGGCAAGCCCCCACATGAAGTCCTCAAGACTAAAGGAGAAGAGGAAAACCAAAGAACAAATTATGCCGAGAAATCGAAACAGACATGAGAAATATGAACAGAAATTGGACAGAACTGGAAAGGAAAGCCCAGGACAGAGTGGGTTGGAGAATGCTGGTTGGCGTCTTATGCTCCATTGGCAGTAACAGGCGTAAGTAAGTAAGTAGGTAAGTACGCAAGTAGATTTTTGTTAACTTGTACTACTTAGTGCTTTATTAATCTGCTCAACAAAAACTTCTAAATGAAATGGATAGAATTTCTACTTTTAAGATCTAAAGTTATTGATTGTGTTTTATGGAAATATGAATTTCTATTTAGATAATTTACGACTGAGATATCACTAAACATGATTTAATGCGCAGAAATTGACCTCTTTCCATATTCACATATATGACATTCTAGTTTCAACAAGAACTTTTATATAAATTTATACATACAGGATTTTAATCTATTTACGTTTCTTTAACACTTATAAAGATCATACAGTGGTGAACAGTTTAGTGAGTAACACTTGTAATCTAAGATAATTGGTAGCCTGTTACTTATATTGGTCTTACGACTGGTTTTTGTCAAAACATTTTCATTATTAAACTGATAGACATTTTGTGACGAAAAAATTCAAACAATTTCATCCAGTAAATCGATATGTATATCCGTAATTTATTTTCACATTGGCCTGTTATGTAATCAGTTCCTGATACCGAAACACGGTTTCAATCACTTTATATGATGGAAGAATTTTATATTTTATTATAGACTTTTATTTTCTAAATAACTAATAACACTACTGTAAAGATTTGGTAAATGATATCGCCTTAAAGAGAGAATTTTCTCCGCTAATTTGTCTTGATTTTGTTTTCAATAACTTATTAGGTTTGTTTCGCTTTTTTTAATTATGTAATCGTACAGCTACTTTAGTAACAACTAGATCCAAATTTTGTAACTCCAATAAACATCCTTTGTTATACATTTTATGAAAAGGAAATACACTGTAAGTAACATTTCGATGCAACGTAGAAACATGATCAATATCTAAAGGTGTTTTTCTTCTTGGTTGTTATTGCTTATACGAAACGGTAAAATAAGAATGTTTTTAAAATGATGCTGCATTATTCAATGTTTTTCTTTTAAAATTCACTTTAAATTAGACAGATTAAAAATAATTGACTACAATAAATCTTAATTATTCAGTGTATTTTATTTTAATCATACATAGATTTCTTTTGTTTAAAAAAAACATAACATTGTCAGTTTATCATTTACGATAAATATCCCATAGACTAGGTAATTCATCCATTTCTTTGTAGATTGTTGGATGTGAGTTTCGTTTACCGAAACGAAATATTTGTCGACGTTTATAAGGTGCGATGACACGATTTCGAGGATTATATTCTGAGGAATCCCACGGTTGTAATGAATTATTATCTTCTGTATAAAAAAACGAGAGGTGAAAAAAAAGAACAACGTTATTAAACTGACAGAAAGTTGATTTGATAAATAATAATCATAATTATAGCATTCATATCAGCAAATCTCGTCTTCAGGAATTGAAAGCAAGTAGTTTGGTTTTTACTGTGAAATGGTTATGAATTCAATAAATAAGATTCATATATGAACAGATTTCGAATGAAAACTGTTTTATTATGATTGTAAATTATATCCAGACTATGTCAAATAATCCAAAGTTTTATCATATTTAAATCTACAAGACTTCGAGATATTTGAGTAATTGATATTAGCAGAATACACAATAGGTGCCTGATCTCATTTAGGACTTGTCTATTGTATACACACACAACCAAATGTTATTCTTCACATTATAAGTCTAATCATTTACTCGACTTCGTAACGATTCATATGAGTCACAAACTTTTGATTGGTATGATATTGATCGTAATTTGTAGCATTCTCTATTTTCTCGTTTCTAATATTCCACAGTCAATCACTATCTATGATATAATCAAATTGTATATATAGACTTTGTCAAAATATTTATACTAAAAGATTACATTCCAATGATCACATATCATTTCAATCCTGAATATCATATTACAGAAATATGCCAATTTTATAACGGAGTGACCTTTATTATACTTCTCATTATCGGTTCAAACTAATAAATATATTTGCTATGAAAGTTAGATCGTTTTCAACAATTAGTCAACGTGTAACTTTACAGCTTTAAAGTGAATTATTTGAGGAATTTTCAGCTAATTCCTTACTTTTTCTAAATTCCGATTTAAATATCTGAAATTGACTATAAATGTTGGAATGATCAGCATGTAGTGTATATATGAATTAAATTGTAGAATCAATCAAGTTTAATGTTTGATCATGGATCAAATAGGATATAATAAATGTCTGTTGAGTGCTAAATAAATTATTCAAACACATGAAGATTAAATCATATAAGTTTTGATAGTAAAAACATGAAAATGATGAGGTTGTTTACATGAGGTGTGTAGGATTATGATATAATGAATAAAAACTATCTAATCATTGGTTACAAAGTCAGCTAATTTAAAAAAGGAGGGTGGGCCTATTTTTGGGATTTGAAGTTCAGTGAAAAAAGTTAGTTTACAAACTTTTATATTCAGTTTTCGAACCATTTAAACTCATGCAAACTAAAGTATTTTCACCATAGCAGAACTGTTGTAAAGTGTATTTTAGAACAAGTAATATTTTATTAAATTTAGAAAAAAGTGAATAGTGTAGTTATATTCAATAATGAAAGGCTATTAGCGATATAAAATAACGCGGTACATAAAAGTTTCCATTAACCCCTGTCATCAATAAGCATCAAAATCTTATCCTAATAAGCTGGTATAAAGCCATCTTCAGTAACTCGTGTAGAAATCCCTGTGCAAACAAGTAGGGTATCAATACACTCAAAGGAAAAACAACCAAGTCCTCAGAGGTCATTTAGTTTCAGATAGGATTCCTAAGGTATTATTAGGAGTTTGTTTCTAAACTCACATTTTTTTGTCATGTATTAAGTGAATATACTAAAATAATCTACAGCATAAAATGATAAAACCTAAGCAGTTATAAGAAGAGACGAAAAGCGTAATTAAATTAAATTACAAACTGATCTGGAGCAGATGATATAAAGATAATTCTGAGTAACTGACTAATATCACTTGCTAAACGTTAGGAGTGAAATAAAAAGTTTTATTTCAGGCTAGAATAAATAAATGAGTTGGACTTGTGTCTCTTGTATATCAATCAATGCCAACAAATATTATTGCATACTCCTTAGGGTAAACAGCTATAATTTATTTTAGAGTGAACTGTAATTTGACGCACAATTCAATACCTTAAATTACCTTACGATGGCATTTTTAAACAGGACAAATAAGTAGATTGGTTTCTCCTTTTTAACCATTTTCCATTCTCAAACATCATTTAAATATTTTTATTTGTAAAACTGGTACTCTGACAATGAATTTTTAAGAAGAAATAATCCACAAAGTTTCTACTTTTTTCTGCTTAACCTTTTGTAACAAAGAAATCAGTTGCGTTCTTCTAACCCACTTAAGAGTGAATATATCCAGTAATCATTTAGTGACGAAACAATAGGTATCATTTAAATATGAACTGAATTTTACCAGTGCACCTATGGAAAGTTCTGTCAGAAGTAAACGCTTCTCACTGGCTCATTTTGTCTGAATTATTTTCAATCTTTAATCAGTTCGTAAGAAAAATGTCCGTTAAACAATATAATTAACCTGGATTCTGATCAGTGATTGACAGAATATCGATGAAAAGTCAATAAACAAAAGTATGAGGGGTTTTCAAATATCTTTTGTACTTGTAAAAGCATATAATTTCAGAAAACAGTAAATAACATTTTCTTTTTATTGTCAACCAATATGTGTACTTTTCGTTTTGTTTACATCAGTTTAATGTACTACTTGCTATAACTAAAGTTTTAATAAATTCAGTCAAATTATTTAACATCCATTTATACATTAAATATGTTTCCAATAGAGTTTACTTTCAATTATTATCAGTAATGAAATTCAAAAATTAATTAGAGTTCTCTATTTTGAATGACATTCATTGTGACATTAATTCTGGGTCGAAATTCTACTTATCATCACTAAAAAGAGAACTGAAATATTTTAGACATTTAATTCTGAGTTTAATGACATCTTTGTTAAGGATAAAAGTGATCTTTAACATAATTGTTAACTGTTGCAGCAGTTTGTATTTCCAAGCCGTGAACATGAAATGCTTATTTATAAATCAAAAAGTCAATTTTACGAACTCCTTTTCGCTAGATGCTTATTGAAAGTTAAGAATGAATGAATATCTATCCTATCATGGTAGTGCCAGATTACTGCTAGGGCCAGGCTTAATATCATTTATGTACACGGATAGTGAATATTTTACCAAAAAAGAGCCATTGTTTAACCAATTTTAGCTGGTAAGTTGATAATTCTCCTCCAACATCTTATTCGAACAAAAATAAACTAACCACTTTTTCTATAAATCGAACCAAAGAAAAAAAGTTTCTCAACCTGCCTGAAAAGACTGTGGGAGATACTTAAATTATACAAAATGTTTCTTATTATAAATTAATATATATTTTTAGTCAGCTGAATAATTGAAAAAAAAACAAAAATAAAAATAGTTTCGATTATGTCCATATAAGCAATTTATTCCCATTTGGACAACAACCATTGTTTTTCCTCCTGCAAGCAAATTTCTCCCCATTCATAAATCACTTCTCAAGGAAACAGATATATATATATATATATGTTATAGAAGAAACTTAAGACTTATGGAAATGTTATTGTTATTGTTAGGAAGTAAATAATAGGTTCTCATGAATAAATATCATTTGATAATAAAACTGTTGAAAGTAGTTATAGTTCAAGTTATTAGTAAATAGCTCAGAGTTATGATATAGAATTCTTTATATTTATTTATTTATAACATTTACACAATGATGAATCATTTCATACTGAAATCGACAAATATAACAACTGAAAGCTAGCAGTGGAATTCATAATGAGCATTTCGTCCTATTTAAGACTCGTCAATTGGATGTACCTGCATTTCAGAGTTGATATTCACCCCGGGAATTGAACATCAATGAGAAGAAGATTCAACCAACTAATGCAAAAATGAATTAAATACAACTGTTTGTTTAGACTAGAAAAAACTTATATAAATCGAAGGACTGCTGAATGTAATGGTTGATATTAACAACTCGACAAAATCTGTGAACTGTAATATGATTGAATCCAAATCATTTGATATAGAGTAACTGTGAATTAAATCAACAAATAAATAATCAACTTCACCTTACTGATTACCAATTAGTACTTTTGAGAATTATAATCAATGTGATCTGCCAGTTATTTGCTTTATATAAGTAGACAGGAACTCACATAATATTATTTGCTACGTAAACTTTCAAAATATAATGGGCCATCAGATAATTCAACCAGTAAATTTAACAGAAATTACAGAACGTAACCAACTAAATTTGATACATGTCTATGTAACCATTTTGTACTAAAAAGTCCCAGTGAATGCTATTTTTGCATATTTTCTAGTTAATAACTACCGCCATTCGTCTACAACTTTGGTACAAATAAGCATTTATATTTCTGTTTACTTATCTATGTTATTTCATAATATGATTTATGAAACTATACTGGGAATGAGACATACTGTTTAAATCTATCTAAATTTATATATTATTGCTTCAGCTAATCCAAGCAACTACCCATAATTAAGTATGTAGAGACTAGTATACAATAGTTGGTATTAAAGATAATAGAAAGTAGTAACTCTGAATTATATACTATTTAGAACCCATCAACACATCACATCAGTAAAGTTAACTAAATTATAGCTTTTCGGAAATACTGTACTACTCTGTTGATACTAAGTTAGAATTAACTAGCTTAGAGCATACACCAATAAGATATAGCAAACATCCGATTGATCACTACCAAGGGATTGTTCGGTGAAGTAGAGTTTCAGAATAATATCGAATATTTATTACCTGAAGTTTTAAAAAAGCATTGGGCTTCATTTCCTGTTAAAGATTTTATTCTGACATTTGGATCTTTTGGCAAAACATAGAGTATTTCACAAAATGTGGAAGGTTTCCTGATGTTCTCATGGCTTTGTTTGCGCTCTTTTTACACAAGCGACGTTCAATTGATTTTCTTTTACTAATCATTTTTAAACTAACTGATCAAGTTTTTTTCATAATCACTCAACTAGACAACTTATAGAACATACCTATATATAACTAAGTTGTTCTACAATTTTGGAGTAATGTCAATCATATTCAGGAAAGAAAACAAATAGACAAGTTACAAGTTCATGATCATTTCGTTTTGTAAGTATGAAACGTGAAATCCTGTCATTCACTTTCACATACATTTTACAATTGAAGCACTCAATGGAATGTACTACTCTGTTCAGAAAACAGTTAAACTAATTGTAATCAAAGCTTTCCAAATAAAATTCTGAATACAGAAATCATCTGTTGACTCTACATTCTTTCTATAATCACCTACTATTCATTCGTCATAGCAATCACTCTTATGTTAATCATATTGGATAATGATGAATTTAATATTATCTGGCTAGGTAACTAAAACTTATAGTTATTACCAAATTCCATTTAACACATATAGTTCCATTTACATTCATTGATGATGACTTAGTCATTTTGTTGACTATATGAATAAACTCTATTTCTACTTCATAAGTGAATATATAACTAATTAGCCATAAATTATAATGATTGTATATAGAGAAACCACTTTTTATAATAATTGTTATTACAATCATTACTCCTTATTTTAAAAACCCATAATTTATTTTATAATTTATAACTACTCAAATGTTCTAGATGAATATTTCGCATTGCAATATAAATCCTGGAAAGGAATTAATAAAAATATATCGAAATTTCTAAAATCTCCACAAAACCCCTTCTGATAATAATCATCTGCTCACTAGTGACTGACTTCAAGAGTCATTACCTGGAGTTCTAGTGAGAAGCAGTGACCAGTGGAGTTCAACCAGGTCTGTTGTGAGATATCAGCTCACTGAAGACAATGGTGTACGGTAGCGCGATTTCGTGGATTGGTTGAAGTTAGACATTAACACCGTTGGATGCCGGTCGACTCGGTGGTCTAATGGTTAGGCGCTCGCGCGCAAAACTGATAGGTCCTGTGTTTGAATCTCGCAGGAGGCGGGATCGTGGATGCGCACTGCTGAGGAGTCTCATGCTAGGACGAAACGGACGTCCGGTGCTTCCATGTTTTCCATGGTGGCCTAGCTTCAATTGACTCATGATTTCAACTATTGAAAAATACATATCTTCTTAAACGCTCTTTTTCAATATGGTACATAAATAAGCCCAATAAAATCATCACTGATCACAAATTTCTTTCTAATCATACAATTTATTTACGTACCATATTGAGTTTCCTAATATGAAAGAAGTATTTAGAGCTATTATCATCACAGTAAAACTAAAGCAATCCCACCTATCTTAATTACTAAGTTCTTAATTTAGAAACAATAATTAAACAAATAAATGAACACCGAAAAACAAAGCAAAGAAGTTTTAAGGATTTGGATATTTTGTCTAATCTAAAATATACTACTTATTTTAGACTGTTCTAAAAGGATCATACATATAATATCAACATGTATTACATTAAGAACCAGAGAAATAAGTCAATAACAGTTTCCGTTGTTGACATCACCTGGAGATGCATTTATTATCAGTAAGCATTAACCAGCTGTTTCATTCTAGTTTATTATTTACCGGTACCATTCACTTACAACAACCTCGAAGTAGCGTGAAACAGATATTGTTCAGCTAGTTTCTGTTCATGACGATGTCTATTTATAAGAATAGATTAATTTGAGTAAACTGTCAAGCTAAAAGAAGACAAATTTAAAATTTAACACTATTATCCACTAATATATTTCTGTTTTTTATTACTTAAAGTGATATATATTCTCAAATGTTATCTGATCAATGAATGTAGACGAAATAATGATTTCTCAAACTACTGAGAAACTACAGCATTTAGACACATTTCCGCTATTTTTCATTTCCATTCAACTTATTGTTGAAATGGTATCAAAACTGCATTTTGATAAGAGCCCTTTATTTTTTAACCATATTAGACATATGTGCTTTTGATTTAATAAAGCATAGATATTTTTATCCTTTTAAGTGAACTTGGATATTAGCTAGCAGTGAAATCCAGGATCCCAAAGAAACAATGATCAAACTTCAGTTCATAATATTAACAAGAAGAAGATACAAAAAATTAAGAGTAAAGATCCATTAGTTTTACAGTTTTGTTCCGAACCTTCGACAGTTGAAGTACATTGAGAAGTGAACCAAGTTGAATTTAGCAAATTAAACAAACAAGTGAGCTATAGGTGAAATGTTTCACACGTAACATTTCCTTCTTTTATGAAAAAAGATAAATCAACTACAGAAATGTTTCTGTGTAGCAAATTCAAATAACAATTTATTGGATTATATACCATGAGTAAACCTTCAGAAACCGTCGAATGGTATCATTATTTATACGTATTATTTAGCATGTTAAGACTTATAAAGCTATTTAAAAATAGAAATACTGTTGCGCTTTAGCAAAAACTGTAGTTCAACCTACCTTCACAGGAAACTTCGCTTAATATATATAGACTGATCAATAAATGTAATGCCAATTTAATCATTCTGAAACAAAAATACAAACAATAAAAGGAAACATGAAAGCATTATAATAACTTAATAAATTAAAGCTAGAAATAAATCATCCATGAATTAATTAGATTTTTTGAAATTAGAACCTAATGGGTTATTCCCCTAAGAAACTACTTATTTTCTATGGCTATTTTGCTTTAAATATTTTTAGAATTTCTTTTCAATATTTCAACATTTACAAACACATTTTTCCTAATAATGAGGTGACTGAATGGATGATGTTGTATCTTAAGACTGATTAAACTTGAAATTCTAAGACATTATATTCGATTTACAGACAAACAGAAGACCTCTTTGATCAAAAATTACTCTGTACCGAACATAATATACGGTAGGAAAGAAGAAAAAAGGATATGGGATGAATCTTATCATAATTGAGTTAAATAAAATATCTCCTTTGAGGAAGCATCAACAATCAGTTTATATATAATTCACATATTTGTAGAAAAAGAATAATAATTTCGGGAAAATCATGAAACCATTGCTTCAGCTGTTTAACTAACCGAAACCCTATAACTTCAAATAGGCTTTTATGCACTAACTTTACAAAAGTTATCATTGACAGTTCAGCCTAATTAAAAATTACTTTCAGTATTACTGTGTATTATAATCTGAATAGCTTCATTAAAACTTATCATTAGGATTATTGTAAACTGTTTTCTTTCTTTCAACATTTACGTCACTATTGTTTGATAATAATAACAAAATCTTCACATTTGTATTATACATCTCCAAAAGTGTAATCTCTTGAAAATCCTTATCAATAAACTTAAGATTTTCTTTATGATCTCATAATGTAAGTGAATAAAAAGAGCAAAGTATTTTGATAATTTTATGTATATGTTTATCCATTGGTTTCTTTAGTTTTCATTAGTTTTACTCTGATTTAGTTCAATGTTATCTCAAGTAGTATGTGTAGATGAATTGCAATTTTTCTAAGGAACATTTAATCTAATACTTTTCCAATTAGACTTAATGGAAATGTAACAAACTTTCTTTGTTTTAAATTTAAAAAAACTTTATGTTTTTAAAAATATTTTTTTATTAAACTGGGTCGTTTATCTAATTATCTGCCAACAACATTTTATATATAAAAAACCACCAACGCTATTACAATTATAATTAGAGAGGGGTTTTGTGGATTTTATAGTAATTTAATAATTGAATTTATGAGTCAATTGAAGCTAGACCATCATGGAAAATCTGGAAGCACTAGACGGCCATTTCATCCTAGTATGTGACTCCTTAGCAGTGTGACATTCGTGAGATAGTAACTCACTGATGGCGATGGCGGACGGTGGCGCAACTTAGTGGATTAGTTGGAGATAGATATTAACACCGTTGAATGCCGGCCGGGTCAGTAGTTTAAAGGTTAAGCACTTGCGCGCGAAACTGATAGGTCCTGGGATTGAATCCCGCTGGGCGTGATCGTGGATGCGCACTGCTGTGGAGTTCCATACTAGGACGAAACGACCGTCTAGTGTTTCCAGGTTTTCCATGGTAGTCTAGCACCAATTGACTAATGAATTTGACTATCAAAATTGCTGTTACAATTGTCTGGGAAACCCAGTAATCCTGGTAATTATAAGAAGATCAGTTTTTTAAAAGGGACTTAAATAGCTAGCAAGACTATGAATATTAGAATGTTTATTATTGTAAGTCTTATGATTCTATGCATTAAGTAAACGATTTGTCATATACTAGTATCGTGTGAAATAATTCATGATATTATTTTAATAACCTCTGTCAATATCCTATCAAGCAACTGATTTTAAAAATTTGATTAATGATACTTCTATATAATATCTTTAATAGAAAATGGAATTTAGAAACCATCAACGTTACAATACATAGTGATACTTGAAAATCATATTTTCCATACTCCTTGATTGTTTACTTTTCTAAATCTGAACATTTCTTATTACGTAATTTTAATAGTTTTTAATTCATGTTTATTCAGTGTAAATATTTCAAGTCATTGACATACTTCCTATCATGAAACATTGGTTCAAGCCTTTATTATTCTTATCACAACTAGTGCACCTGCTATTACGTTATCTGTGTGTACTTTTATACTTATTACGTTTATTTATGTAATCTATCCCACTGACTGATAAACTACATTGATTGGTTTAATAATTCCGTACATGCATATTAATATTTATGTTAATTAGAGTAATTCCTGATTATGATCTAATTGAAAACAATGTTATTCACTTTATGTGTTGGGTCCGTATACCGTATAAAGTAAATTTGTGTGAAATTATTTTTAATAAAAACAAATGTAAAGCTAATCCATATCTGAATAAACGTTCCCAGTGTTTGTCAATACAACATAGTTCGCCAGTTCATCAAAATGAGAAGTAATAAAGGACATCTTACAACCGCTCTTTTTTTATGGTTGTATCTTTTACCATACCTGCTAGAATGTGATACCAGACATCGTTTGATGTACTTTTTAAAAAGAAATAATTAATGATTTATTTCACTTCGAATATTACATTGAATCCTTGGGATCATATGCGAATTTAGTCTTATTTCAGATTATTCTATAAACCACTATGTCTACTTTAACATAACTGCTTTCAAGTGTAGTTCTGCTATTACGTTATCTCTTCATTCATGCTTAGTCCTATGAAAACTATACTGTTTAGAGAGGAGGCTTTTTAAGACGTGTCTCTTACAACGGCTTGCTTTCCACAAACATATTTCGTATAAGTCACCTGAAGAAATTAACATTACATTGAGATTTATAGTGATAATTCTACCTCATTTTAGTTATGTTTCAGAAAAAAACAGCATTTTTATTGTAGTTTAAATGAAAAATTATGATACATAAATGACTTAAGTTGTACATGAAGTCTCATGTCGTTTTATTTCGGAAAATGTATCATTTTGTAATTAGTTTCTTCTGTCAGTGTTCTACAGTGATTGATGTGATTCATTTTAATGCATTCAATATTTAAGAAACATTTTCAGTGAGACTATAATTTATGGACGACCTTTGAGCAACGCGAAATAACCTTGAAAATATCCATCTGTTAACTAGAACTAAATGAGGGTTATACAGCAATTTGAGGAATTAAAATTATGATTTACGGTTGATGGTAAGGGTTAGGAATTAGATTTAGGGTTTTCATCACGAACTGACATCAGCTATAATGTCAAAATAGTATTGAACCAAATGAGTGTATGAATTTTGTGCTAAAATCCGAAACCTGCTATCTTATACCTGATTGGTTCGTTCATAAATTACAGTTTCGCCAAATTTTCTTATATCCAGAATAAATAAGTACGAAAAAGTTACACCAATTTGTAAATGATTAATGAGCTAATTAATTCAATAGTCAATCATTAAATGTGCCCGTTTATCTTAAATCAAAGTTTTACTCATATGTTATTCATTCACTTTACATTCCGAACAAATTACATTAGAAACCTTCATTGTTCACACATGCATGCAGTGACAGACTGAAATTGTATATATGATGTCTTCATTTAGTTAAACAAATTATACATATCTATTTAATGTAAGACCAAAACTACGAAAGTTCTAATAAAAATAACCGTTCAATTTTGATATCTGTCTGTAAAACAAATTTACTATAAATGATTAAAGTAATGAATAAAACTATGAAATTTCTGAAATTCACTTGGTATTATTTACTTAAATCTTACCATTGATGTTTAGGACTGAAATTGATCAGTCTGTTATTGGTCTATGTGCATACTATGGCGTATTGCATCGATATTGTCTTACTTCACAAGCATTATAAACAAAAATAGATAGTAGCTAGTGTGTGCTGGATTCCACTACTAACCACTATCCATCTTTACTTATTATGAAATCTTTATTTTGAAAAACGTATATATGTAATTAACCAAAATATTTTCCTTTCATGTGTGATACTTTTTAGATGAGGAAAAATTTAATTTTTCCTTTTAAATTATAAAAAGTAACTATTGATGTTTATCCTAACCAAAAATGCAAATATGATACTGAGTTTTTTCTTTTGAAATCATTTTTGGTTGTTTTTAATTAAATGAGAAGTCATGACATGAAAAATAATTGATTCAGTTTTATAGATTCATTATTTTCAATGGCTAAAATCATGAGTCAATTGAAGATAGACCACCATGAAAAGCCTGGAAGCACTGGACGGCCGTTTCGTCCTATTGTGGGGCTCCTCAACAGTGCGCATCCACGACCTGGCCCATCGAGAAACTCGAACCCAGGACCTACTGATTTCGCGCGCGAGCACTTAACCAATAGACCACTGATCCTGCTGGCATCCAATGGTGTTAATGTCTAACTTCAACTAATCCACGAAATTGAGCGACACATCCATCATTGTCTTCAGTGAGTTACTATCTCAAGATCTTAACTACTGAAATTACTATAATATCCACAAAACCCATCTGTTATTTATTTTTTTGTTTAAAAATAAATAAGAGAATAATTTAAGGTGGTAAACATTCTTTACAGTTGGGGAAAGTAGTTAGGTAAGAAAAAGGGAATTTATGAAAAATTCCATTATTAAATAAGTTTATTAAAATCTATATGCTATAGATTAATGATAAAATTTCGTGTGTAACTATGTAAGTTTTGTTTAAGAATAATACAGACAATTATACAAACTACAGTATTCTTACATAAATAATTTTAAGAATAATTAAAGTATGTGAGTAATTGGAGCTATTCATATGTGACCCTAATGTCCCTATGTGACTACTACCGGTCCCAAGCCTGGATAAAGGAGAAGGGTTGGGTATTGGATTAACGACTTCATCTCGTAGAAAACTAACTCGCTAGAAAAAATGGTAACCAGAAAAAAGTAAGTAACATGGTATTTTATCGAAAACCTTTTCAAAAATATTTTTTCGAAAATGAATTCTATTAATTTTCTGTTAGTTCTCAGTTATAGAATTATCATTGTCAGATTGTTTTGATTACTTTAAAAATAGTTTATAATAACAACTAGATACTTAAAGTTCTAGAAAAAAACGTCTGTCATTTTTAGGTGAATAATAGTATATACATTAAAACGGAGTATTAGGTTTAAAGAAATATGGTTGGACAAGTTGAGTTTATAGTGTATCATGTTATCTAACTACAGCATACGTCTACCTTTTTTATCCATGACACGTCATGATTACTTGATGTTCCATTCTAACCCGACTATTAATCTATTGTTTATCAATCCATGTATGTTGTCATGTATCCCCAAACGTGTCAATTTATATTGCACACTTTCTGTGAGAATGTGTACTTTGGTTGTATGCATTTATCTGCTTGTTTTATTGTATATTTTGTCTGTTTTTTTTTCTATGGGGATTCATGCTTAATCAGAGTGGGTAGGCGTGTAACATCTCGCCTAGCTGCTTCTATTCAATCTTCATTCTTTATTCGCCCCCATTGCACGGACGAAATAACTTCAAATACACTCCATCTGACTTTTTTATACAGCTGTTGTACAATAGAGTTAGCCGTATAATAATATACGAAATAAAATAAAGAACTATGTTTCATCATATGCATCACTAACTAGAGTTAACCTGAAAGAGAGAAAAGTTATTCAATAAATAGTATTATACATTTAATTGATTCATACTTGATGATGGGTCATGTTTTATGAAATTCAAGGCAAATAAGTTTGAAATTATTTGCACAAATATTCATTGTTTATAGATGTAAAGTTTTTCTGTTTATATAGTAATAGCGAACTGATATCAAGTATGTAGAATTACATAAACAGACTGTCTGTTTTTTCTTCAACTCATCAATGATTTACACCTATTTATCACTTTAATCATTTGGTAAAATGCCTGTAATAATTAAATGCATATGTGATATCAGCTTCAACTATTTGTATAAATGAAATGATTTCACAGACCTAAAAATCCCTAGATATAGTACATTTCCAGGTATAGATGAGGTTCAACATTAATAAAATTGGATTCTCATTCAATCATTTTTACTAAATTAAATAAAGTCTTTTAGTCTACAACCCAAAAATTATATCTCTACATGTGATTGAAATGTAGGTGAAAATTTAAAAGACATATTAATGGAATTTTGTTTCCATAAACAATGGTTTAAGTAATGGTGGCTAAGATTAAGTTATCTAATATTATGTAAACTGAAGATGATAAATTTCTGTGAATATATGACTTTCAGTGCATAGTAATATCATTTTACAATGTATTCAGAACCATGGAAGTAAATATTAAACTCAAAAGCTGTTTTAAAGGGTAGTCACTAAGTGATGGAAGAGTTTTTGGTTGCATATTTAATGATTATAATGATCGTTTTGTTTTATTACGTTGCTAATTACAAATCTCATAAATCTATAAAGTCTGAATAACAAACCTTATGGATGAAAATTAGTTTCTCAATTAAGAATATAATCCTACTTACTTACTTACGCCTGTTACTCCTAATGGAGCATAGGCCGTCGACCAGCATTCTCTAACCCACTCTGTCCTGAGAATATAATCAGCAATGTGTAAATATTTAACTTATAATCTTTTAATACACGAGAAAAAATCGGTGTTTTTTCTGAGCTGAATAGTTTGTGTGTTGTACTATCATTGAAATTCAAAGAAATAGCTGATATCCACATGTGTGGAAATTTAAATATGTTGCTTATTAATTTTATGACATTATTTATATGATCATTAGGACATCAAAGAACATAAAACCATCCGAATTATCCTCTTTAATCACACACTTTCTTCTTACTGTCTAAAAGAAACTTCAGTGTTTAACTATGATAAATAAGATGTAACTGCTTAGCTGAACAGTTAAAGCTACACGTGACACATATATTCTATTGATATTTACTTTCTATATTATGTTAAATGAATTTACTTTATAAGGCTGTAAATAATATTTTGTATAGTTGATAAAATATAACTGACAATTCTGCTTTAATTACCATAGTACAAGTCATTTTTTCCCAGTAATTTGTATCAACAGTCAGCTGTAAGTAATTAGGTTATAATATTTTTTCTCAAACATCAGAATATTAAATGTAACATACTACCTTTTCCCAAGAATCTGTCAAGAAAGAAGTAATCTAGAAAAGTTGAATTAACAAGGTTTATTACAAATCTAAGCAAAAATATGCCTGTTAATCTAAATTAAGCAAATCTGTTCTCTAGAACTATAATAAATTAGATTATATCATGTTATGGTCTTTACTTTAAGTATATTGGGCACAGAAGTGTTCAGTTAATCGATTTAGAATTTCTTTTTCATTCTGTACTAAAATTAGCTAAAACTGAATGTAAACAACAGAAATATTTTATCCCAACATGAAGATTCTGAAGTGGATATATTTACCATTGGATTATACAACCCTTATAACATTATTAGGTGAATGAGTCATGAAATAGTATGACCACATTTTAATGCTGTAAGTGATTTACGATTTTGTTTATAGCTTCCTTAAATTATCAGAAGTCATTTTAACAAATAAAAAGGGATTATCAAAGACATTTCTATAGAATAAAACTATAGTAACATAGAACCTGACGAATTGTAGAATATTTCCACCAACAAAAAATTATAAAACCTTACATAGATATTTTTAATATAACCAAAATCTAGTCATGTCTTAAAGAAGTCATCACTTGCTATCTATTCCATTCTTAGAATAAATAGTAATAAAACCATGCTTAAATATAAATGAGATAATTGAATCTAATATAGAAGTAAAGTTACATATACAAATAGAAAATTTATAAAAAGGTTTACCATATGCTAACTAGTGACTAGTTTCGTGAGACAATTCTCAGAGTTCTAGCGAGAAGCCGTGATCAGTGAAGATAATCCGTGTCGGATAGAGAAAGGTGTCTACCTCACAACAGTGGAAGATGGTCGTGCGATTTCGTGAATTAGTTTAAGTTAGAGATTAACACCGTTGGATGCCGGCCAGCTCAGTAGTCTAAAGGTTAAGTGTTCACTCTTGAGACCGTAGGCTCTGAGTTGAAATCCCGTGAGCGGGATTGTCGATGCGCACTGCTGAGGCGTCTCACAATGGGACGAAATGGCCGTTCAGTGCTTTCAGGTTTTCAATAGTGGTCTAACATCAATCGGTTTTATGATCAAAAAGGTTTTAAGTCTAATAATTAGTATTTTCTCCAAATCATACAAAAAGTTTATAAGATGAATTAACAACAGAATAGAAGTAATCATTTTAACAACAAATATTTATTCAACACTTACATTATAAAAAACTTTCTTCTACTGGTTATTATTATATTAAATTATTTATTTCACTAACTTGGTTTAAACGGCTGTAATAAATTTTTTAATTGAAGTAAATTTCTTCCATATACTACGTTGAATTATCTGAGTAAAGCTATCTCACTGAGTAAAATATATCAGTAATTCGGCTTTTTTGATTGGTCAATTGTATCATCCAATAAAACGTTTTTTTATTGTAAATATTAGTGATTATTAATTATTACTCATTAAGAATTAGAAACTGTCATTATTTTCTTTAAAATTTTTTTACATACTTTGTACAATATATTTGATGGAAAGAAAATCATTTTAATAAATTTCTGCCTGCGCACTTCTGAGGAGTCCAACAATAGGACGAAACGGCATTTTTTTGAATCACTCTTTATAATAAGTGATTTTAAAATCAAAGCATTTTATCTGTTATTATTAATCTAAGTGAAGTTATTCTGTATTATCGAATTTCTATGAAACCGTTAACCTTTAAAAACACGAATTCCTTTAACAAATTTGTTATAGAAGGTTTAAGAGAATGTGAACAACTCATTTCGTTTAAATACAAGTTTTCTCAATCTGGAATATTTTATTATACGTCATGGACTTGAATGAGTTGTTGACAGAAATGACTACACTTCATATATGTTATATCTCTTTAGCGACTGGCTCATTATAAATTCCTTTACGAATAAAAATTCTTTTAATAGTAGTAGTTCCAAACATTTCGATTCGCTTATCTATACATGCGAATTCTGTTAATTTGTATCGCGTTGTTCACTTCATTATAAGGTTTAATAGTTGAATCCGTGAGTGAATTGAAGCTAGACCACTATGCAAAACATGGAGGCACTGGGCGGCAGCAGTGTGCATCCACGATGAACGCTGGCAAAATGTCGTGGATTGGTCAAAGTTAGACATTAACACCGTTGGATTCCGGCTCAGTGGTCTAGAGGTTAAGCGTCCATGTGTGAGACTGATAGGTGCTGGGTTGGAATCTCGCTAGGCAGGATCGCGGATACGCAATGCTGAGGGAACCCATAATAAGACGAAACGATCTTTCAGTGCTTCCAGGTTTTCCATGGTGGTCTAGCTTCAATTGACTCATGATCTCAACTATTAAAATTACTATAATATCCACGAAACCCCTCTATGATCATCGTATGATGTTGGAAGCTTTACATTTTGAATTATGGTGAATATATTTTATGATTATATAATGTAAAGTTTCATCTGTGTAAACTCTCCAGTGAAATAAACATCGTATTTCTATATCAGATAAAAACAACATGAACCATGTCTTGACAACTTCAAAAGTAATTGCATTAAGGTACTCTAACGAAAAGAACAAACTTCAAATGGTACATCATTTATAGTAAGTTTATGTTGAAAAGCGTAATAAATTTGAAAAGATTGACACAGTTTCACATTATCATATTTGATTCAAATTAGTTTTATTAAACCTATAACATTTCAAAATATGAATTACAGATCAAGATAACAATAGGTCAATAAAGTTATTTCAACTAAACTGAAATTACTATGAATTAAATCAGCATTAACTTATATTCCATTATATAGTATAACTCAATGAGTTGAATTTATAATTTAAAGAGTTTAATCTCTCGATAAATTCTAAATGATACTTTCTCAGCAACTGTAATTGTTTTTTTTTATTACCAAAATGTTCTTTTCGGAGCATTAAACAAAATAACAGGCAACGTTTTTATAAAATATATAGATTTATAGACTGCATATGATTACAGTTGTTTCTTTTAACTAGAATTATTACCATTTGACATGCATAGTTTTATGGTATTGTAAAACCGTTAAAAAGCGTTCCATATTAATTTTCATCACTGATACCAATTCTGTTTTTTTACATAACTAATAATTGGTTTATGAACGATCCAATAAGATCTTGTTCATATAACAAATTTTGAATTAAAATCCATTAATCTGGATATAAATTATTTTAAATAATTATTCAACTTATACTATTTGTTTTTTTGTTTTTTGCTTTTTTTTTGGAAATGCAGAACAGTGATTAGGAGGCAAGGCGTTTTCTAATAAATTCAATAAATTTATTATCTTTTATAATTAATATCAGATGGGTTTTGTGGAGATTGTAGTAATTTCAACAGTTTAGATCATCAGTCAATTGAAGCTATACCACCATAGAAAACCTGGAAGTACTGGACGACCGTTTCGTCCTATTATGGGACTTCTCAGTAGTGCGCATCCACGTCCCCACCTCGCCTGGTTCGAACGCAGAACCTATCAGTCTCGAGCCAGGCGCTTAACCAACTAGACCACTGAGCTGTTCGGCATCCAACAGTGTTAATGTCTGACTTCAACTAATCCACGAAATTGAGCGACACATCCACCACTGTCTTCAGTGAGTTGCTACCTCACAACTGATCCGGTTGAACTCCACTGGCCGTTGCTTCTCACTAGGACTCCAGGATGTATCTCTTGAAGCCAGTCACTAGTGGGCATATGTTGGTTAGTATCCGATGGGTTTTGTGAAGACTGTAGTAATTTCAATAGTTGAGATCATGAGTCGATTAGTTAAGCGCCTGGCACGAGACTAATAGGTCCTGGGTTCCAATCCTGTGAGGCGGGGTCGTGGAGTCCCACAATAGGATGAAACGGCCGTCCAGTACTTCCAGGTTTTCTATGGTGGTTTAGCTTCAATTAACTCATGATCGCAACCATTGAAACTTTATAATTAAGTCAAATCAATCGTAAGCAAATCTCAGGATTACTATAAAATGTAATAATAATAGTAATATATATACAAGTTTATAATGAAATTAAATTAACTACTATGACTTACAATTTTATTAATTTCGTTAGAATTTATTGTGTTTAACTATACAATGTACATCTTTATTTTTTTTAAAATACTACTCATCTGACGAGATAGATTCTACATAAATATCAGTCTAATAACAATTACTTCACTTTAAACATATCGAATATTTAGTTAATTTGTATTACTTTATGGAGTGCATGGTACCAAAATACTTATAACACTACTTTATTAGCTTCAAACTCCTAAAGTTTGATCATTTTCATCAATTACATGCTGTATGAGATTTCAATACCTATGTGATTGTAAGCAGCTGATGAGTAAAGACGAAGTATAATGAATTCATATTGTTTTTCTTCAATTGTTATATTGGCTTCATTCAAATTTTCATAAACTTACGTATATTTACAGCGTTAGTGACTGGTTTCTCATAGTAACTTTGAATACCTAAGTACTCGAATAAGCACATCAGTGGAAGAATATATATATATATATTCGTATGTAAACGCTCTACTCACTGTGCCACAATATTTTGTAACTGATAATTCTCAGTTAATGTGAAATCCCCAATTTGTTGACATAAATTACCTAAATTAAAATCGCCAATTTGTGTATCAACTAATTCCGCTTTACTATTCAGTAACAATTATTGTAAGGATTTAGAAGGCAACTGAATAAAGTCTTATGATGGTCGGTACTTACGTATGATTATGAAAGTGATGATTTTCTCAAAGTAATTCAAATTATCACATCTATGTATGTTAATACATGGCTATTGGTTTCAGAGTAATAATCAAGTTAGTCAAGTCGTAATGTGACCACTATTTGATTGAAAATCTTTGATCACCATTGATAACGTATTAAAATACATTATTTACTGTTGGAATTAAAACCAACGTATATATATATATATGCATGGTAAACATTTAGATAGAAAGCTCAATTGCTTTTGTAAGTGTAGATTAAAATACCCAAAAGTACACTCATAAATAATCTAATCTTATTAAATTGAAGTATTTTTAAGAGAAGTGTCAATAAATCAAATTAGTGATAAGTTATGATAACTTTATCTTATGAATATTACATTAAGAAAGTATTCAACGTAAATAGACATTAACAAGTCAATTATTTTTATCTGATTATGTTAACATATATGAGTATAAAAATGAAGATGATTATTAGTACATATTACAATTATCAATGAATACGTAATCTTTATTATCCAATCCTAATACATGGTGATGAGTTAATGAAAAAATAAATAAAACTGAGTAAAAGCACTTTACTTACAAAATAATATAACATGGCTAAATTATGTATTTTATATGATATTCAAGCTCTGCGAAAACTTGTTATTACATTTGAAAGTATGAAAACTAATAAAAAAAATAAAGCATATTGCTGAGGAGTCCCATGTTGGGACGAAACGGTCATACAGTGCTTTTAGGTTTTCGATGGTGGTCTAGTTTATATCAACTTGTGAATTCAACTGTTAAAACATTACAATCTCCATGAATCCCCATAGTGAGAAATAAATATGATAATAAATTGATTTTTTTTATGTTTATTTATTATAGTGATTTTGTAAACGATTAGCGAAGATAGGATTCGAAGCATCAAATTATCTATCCAGCGACATGATGATAGTTGGTATAAACTTGCACTCATATCATCTAATATTAACATGTCATTTAGTTTGTTAGTAGAAACAAAGAAATCTCTCTATCTATTGAAAGGTCTTAATTAACAATTTATAAAGAGATTTTAATTGAACAAACCAGTTTAAAACGTCACGATTATGCATGACATTTTAAGTACTTCACATGCATTCCACCTTCAATTAGATAATACACTTGAATGTTAACATTTAGTGCATATACATTACAGAAACAGTTGATTGTTACGTTTGTTGCAAGTTTGTGGCTACGTATTTCAGTGGTTTCTTTTGACCAAATGTATCAAAAGCACAATAAATGATTGAACAGTTTTACATTTTGTATATAGTAGTTCACCATCAATTTTCTTTTTCCGTCCTATCAACTAAGAGAAAATGGAAGACTGAATTTTAAAAATGATCATAAAATCGGACTTACCGTTTTTGTGATTAAGTTTTCAAAGATATATTGATAGTCTTGAAAATCTCCTAGTCGCAACTGAACACTGTACACAATTAGACGCATTCACTTCTTATAAACAATAAGAAATTCACAAAAAATAGATTTTTAATTCAGACTGATTATATTTATTACACATCAATGAGTAAACAATTTGTATTTCTTACGTTTCTGTTAGGAATATTAGATCCTCAGAATTCACTTGGTAAATGTTTTCCTTTTGTAATTTTATTTTGGAAATTCGGGCATTTTGTTTTCGCGCCAAAAGCACTCGTTTTCACCTTCATGTTATATTTTCCATTTGGGAGGACTTTAAATGTCATTGGTTCGTCGTCTCTTTTAATATGCTATTTTGTAACGTTTCTCAAGGACATTTTTATGCTGTATAAATGCACATGAGTTGTGCTTGTTGTTGTTGTTGTCTGTGCGTGTGTCTGTTTGTGGAATACGTTTTCCCTCTTCTGAACTTAGACTTCACTTTCTAGTTAGCTGGGCTGGGACTCATCGGAATAGATAGCTGGTTTGGTCATTGTGTCACTGAGTATTCGTTCCGTTCGTGGATTTAGGTGAACTCGTAATGTCTTCAAACATAGAAGAATGAATTTCAAGTCTAAATAAAAACGAATAAAAATCACTTTTCCCTAATATGTTAGTTTCAAAAATTATTTTTCCGTATTAAGCAATACTTTGATAGTTAGCATCACAAATGGCTATCTTCATCTAATAGTAAAGGACTTCCACGTTTATATGAACCTATAGAATCTCCATACCGCATTGGTTGCATTATCTTATTGCCTACGAATCCGGTTCAGACATCAAAGTTGTTTGGATCTCTGGATGGGTTTGTGTAGCAGATTGTCGATAGCAGGTTCACCAAAATTTGCTCTGACTTGACTGAGACCTGTTATCTGACACTATAACATCCGAAATTTGGAACACATTGAACTATTTAGCTGATTTGTTCATTGTGTCACTGAATATTCGTTCCTTTCGTAGATTCAAGTGAACTCATTATTTTTTCAAATATTTTCATGGCTTAATGTAAGCCATTTCTTAAGAGTAAATTAATAACCGAATTAAATTAACACAAGTTTAAATAGTACAACAGAAACAATATAGAACTTTTCTACTGATTAGGATATAACAAAATGCAACTATCTATTCATTATTACACCTTTATTCAATATTCAATTTATTTGAAATTATCAAGTTGAACGTTGTCATTGATCTACTTTTTTTTCCTAAAAGAGATTATGATAAATGTTAAAGAACGAAAAAAGTTCTGTCTTGTTGACATCATATAAATTCTATAAGCAAGTAATTTATCACTATAAAGTTTATTTTATTTTTCCCTTTTTTTAAAAAAATTTAATCTTTACATTATACAAATAGTTGTATGGCATGAATAATAACTTTTAATTAATTAAGAAATATTACACTATTTACTGCCTACATAGTTTAATTTATCCAGCCTACAAGAAACAAATGTATATATATCTATCAAAAGGAAAATTATTTGTTTTTAATTGTAGAAAGATAAAAATTGTGAATTTTTATTTGAATGGTGATCAATGTCATGTGTGTCAAGTCCTTCTTAGTGTAGATCGGATGCTATCGATCAAGTTGCAATGTGGTTACTAGTCTAGGTGACTCGACCTTGCGTTCACTATGTTGAAATTAGATGGTGAGTGACAATAGTTAACAATTAGTTAATAGATTAAGTATTAACTAATCCAATGATGAATTAGTATAAATGGTTGACTTCTAATGATATTTCAGTTATATAAGATTCACAATAGTTTAAATGTTACTTTATACATGAATTTTAATTGTAAGGAATATATTAGTATTTACATTAGCTTTCATGATAACAAATGAATCCTAAATCTATATTTTATAATATAAAAGAAAATCTGTAGGACTATAATATATGGACGACCTTCGAGAGACGCTAAATTGACCTTGGGGATAATCACCAATTAACTAGGACCAAATGAAAGTTATAAACTAGTGTAAGGAATTGGAATTATGATTTACGGTTGATGGTTAAGGTAAAAAAGTTAAATTTAGGGTTTTCATCACGAACGGACATTATCTATAACTTTAAAACTCTATTTAGACAAGTCGATGAGTGAAGTTCACGCCAAAATTCGAGACCTGTTATCTTATACCTGATTGGTTATAGTCTCGCCAAAAAATCATCCATATTTATTTATGAAATCCATTATTAGACTGAATTGAATATCATTTGTACAAAATAATGATTAGTTCGTAATCTAAGTAAACAATAGAAGTAATAACTATTGATAATCAACAAAGATGGATAGTGGCTAACAGTGGAATTCAGGACTCGCATTTCATCCTATTTGAGACACGTTGGCTGGATATACTTGCATCCCAAAGTTGATGTTCACTCTACAGGACGTACATATACCAATAAAAAACCGATCAATTGCAGTCATAAACATCAATCGGAAGATTCAAGTAAACAGTACCATGTGAATTGGAACTTCACCCCAGTGCACAAGAAAGTGGCTATCAGGACTCAGTAGCTATGTGGATAACGCGATGGCGCTTGAAGTGAACGATACTGTGTTCGAGTCACAGAGTGAACATCAATTCTGATATGCAGGTACATCCAGTTGATTAGTCCCAAATAGAACGAAACACGCGTCCTGGATTCAACTGCCAACCCCTATTCATCTTTCCTTATAATGCTTGTGAATTCAGGCAATATCGAGTGAATATGCACAGTATGCATATATGCCAATAAGAGATTGATCAATTTCAGTTCTAAACATCAATGGGAAAATTCAAGTAAACGATATTAAGTGAACATAAACGCTAAATTTTGATATTCTTCAAAAACAAATATGACTAATTTTCACCTTATTGTACAACTAAAAATGTCTTTCAACAAGCCTACGCATTCTACACTGATAAGTTGAGTAATGTTTTTCTTATTATTCAAATCTTACAAATTAATCAAAATTTTATAGCAAATATATGCAAATATTAAATGAATAGAATGATATTGGAGAAAAGTAGGACCATTAGTTTTAGTGTTTCAGTACGATGAACTAGTGTTTTATCTAGGTATTTATATATCAAAAACAAATGAACTACTTCAACTCAAGCTACATGAATGCGATAGTTACTTTTACCTAACTTTGGTATTTGTTCATCGGTACATTTAAACTTTAGGTTTCTAATGTTAAATATCACTGAAAAAATTCAACAATATGTATTCTTAATACGATTTTGTATACTTTAGATCAATCAAATACTTAAGTTATAATGATAGCCAGCAAATGAAACCTCATGGTGTTCCAATTAAATCTTTGTCAGTCCTACTGAAACAGGTTTGTTAAAATGAACTGTGCTGCTAAAAATGTGTTTCTTCTGCCGAAGGAAACATACTCATCTATGCGTTATATTCTTGATCCACAGTTTATCCAATAAAAACTGGAAATTTTCCCTCCAATTCTGAAGAAACGATCCATCTCACTTAACAGATAAGCAGTACTAATAAAATGCTATCGTTCATATTCCGCACTTTGTTCAATTTTGCTAGAATATTTCATTGTACGTTTTTATTTTTCAACGGCCTAGTTCAGATAAATTCAATAATTATGTACAATATATATAGCGTAGTTTGGATCATATTTTGGTACTGAAAAACAAGCTATACAAAATAAGGTAATAAAACACTACACAATCGAGAAATTTATCAATAGAATAAGAAATAATGAAACGTAAAATGTAGTAGAGTTTGTCCTGGCAAGGGGCTTTTCAGCAGTGCGCATCCGAGGTTTTTCACACGGGACTCGAACCCAGGATCCTATACTGACAATTGTAAATAGTGTTTGCCGCTAAATCTGTTAAACATAACTGCACTACAGTCAGATACACTGTTCACTAATAAAAATTGCAATCAATCGTTGTACGTGTGACTAAAAATATCTACCACCGTGATGTAATCTATTCATGACTAATACGATCTTATGAAATGTTATGAATTATCACTAGATGGTTAAATTCATTTTTACGTTAAACATTATACACTGTCTTCATCTGAACAAACACTCCAAACCATGGTTTTCTAAATACCTGCTACAGTAAAGTGTGTGCTTTTTTTAGCAGTGTAGTGCCACGACGTTGTGAGAGATGAAACTCAGAACCATCATGCTAACATGTAATCTTTGAACCCTTAATTGGGATCTATACGCCTTATTTTATGATATGGCACTTATTTATGGAGAAATACCATTATCTAAGGATACATTTCTTAACCTGAATAAGCTGTGGAAACGTAATTTTAATAGATCTTCATGGTGAGTGCAGTTTTTCGGGTTGCGATTGGGTTAGCAGTAAATTACTGGCTATAAATCTTGAAATCCGAGTTCTAGCACATAAATCTTGACTGGTCGTAACTGAACCTTGTACGTTGTTTAACTGTTCTAGTTAACGATTGATCAGTTGTTAAAGATCACATGAATTTATTAGATTTATCCCACAATGACACCAAACAAAAATATCTTTTAATTATCTTTTGGTTATCTTGAAACTATTAAAAGGAAATTTGCGTTCTAATTTCTTGATCACTATAGCAACCTACAATGTTTACAAACATATATAGTTAGTGTTTTATGAAATTACACAAATAGCTGATTACTGCTTGCTGATTAACGTTTCATTGAGTTCATCTTAATTTTTCTCAGTTTCGTAAATCAAAGTCATTTCTATTTTGTAAATCATATGATATTTAGTGCACTGAATCGTCACAATATCTTATACCAAGAAACTAAAAACTAATTTTTATGAATACAGAACATGCAACAACAAAATAGAAATTTATTTTTGAAAATGTTAGGTGGTCAGTTCATCATTTCTTTTTCAAATTTATTCTTTTGAGTTACATTTAATATTTAACATCAGAGTTATAACTGAACAATTTGTAAGTATATAAACAAAATTTCCCTAGGTTGTTTTTATCATATTCAAAATTGTACAATGGAAGATAGTCGAGCAATTCCATGGTTTGATTGAGGTTAGACATTAACACCGTTGGATGCGGACTCAGTGGTAAACATTAATTTGGGGTAATGTAAATAATATTAGATTGAATATTTACCTTATAAATTGAAAGAAATAATACAATGGGCATTTAATGACTTTGATAAATAAAGTTGAAGCTCAAGTTTAATTATCAATGCTTGAATTTAATCTGAATAGTGTTATAACCAGATGGGAATAAATGAATGGTAACCGTCAGGAATTACTTATGGACTAATATTATACGCATGTTATTATTATATGGCTATTAGGTGACTATTATATATTTATATTCATATTCCTTTAATTAAATAAATTTTATTTGACCTATTGACTATTATCATACGGTTTACTATTCTTGAGATATTCCCAATATTTTGATGGAGTTTTGTTCTCTAAGATGGATAGTTTGGCCGTTACGCTTTCATTGTTGATCCGAACGACATCATCAGCATAAATTTTAGGTAAAGTTCCAATCCATTAGTAACAGTTCCTCACAATTATATCCACTTTTGGGTTTAATTCTGTACAAATATTATTTTCTTTTTTATGCTATGATATGGTCTGATTTCGCTTGTATATAAACCAAATATGTTTAAAATGAATGATTCATATCGCGGAGGCTGATATTCATATTCTAAATTTAAAAGGTAGAACTAAGCGGAATAAAGACCAGTCGAAACTCTAGACTGCTCTTACTGATGTATGCGCCATTAATTTAATCATATA